CCCTGGATCGAGTCCCACATCGGGCTCCCTGCTCGGCAGGGAGCCTGCTTCTCCCTCTGACCCTCCCCCCTCTCATGTGCTCTCTGTCTCTCTCATTCTCTCTGTCTCAGATAAATAAATAAAATCTTTAAAAAAAAAAAAAAAGAAATGCACGGACCCTGTCAGCCTCAGATGCCGGAGGCTGAGGAGAAAGTTCTGAAACCAGGGATTCTATCCCAGGAAATAATAAAAATAAACTTGCATCAGGATGATCATTGGATGGAACATAACAAAGCAAGGAGAAAGTTTTAAAATTGTTTCTTTGGAGAATAAAGTCTCCATATGGAAAAGGGAGACTAGGATAAACCCAATGGGGCTAGACTGGAAGTATCCGTGTGAGTTAATGATTTCTAGTATCTGATTCTTTATGCCATCTCTCTCTCACACTATTGCTATAGATCTTTGTCCTTATTTTCTTGCTCTGGCCACCAAGGGCCTAGAAGCAATGAGCACTCTCGGCACCCAGACCTCGGTTTCTAAATATAATCCTCCACCAAAAGAAATCAAGACTCCATGGAGAAAAGACTGATTCTAAGGCTGGGGCAAGGAAGATACAAGAGAAGCCTGAAATACTTTATTATGCCAGAAAGCAACAAAAGTGTTCAAAAATGAAGGGGACAGGTTAAAAAGACACAGGACCCTCCCAGAAATCTGGGATGATTTGAGAATCAAAGTAAACCAAAGAAATGGCTTGCAACTGAGTAAACAGGAAACCATTCATTCACCCTGATAAACATGTAGATTATTAAGTAGGGAGAAAGGATGCTTTTCTTTAGTAGAGTGCCAACCAGTAAGTGCAGATTACAGAGTTAGAAAAGCATAATGCACGAGAAACAAAATATTTACATGATTTCAAAGTATCTCCTCACAAATTCCTTGTTAATTACAAAAGGGAAAAGAGTAACCAAGTGATCAGAGTTAACTTCAGCTTAACAGGACCAACTGACATCATATGCCAACTTAAAATTCACTGAGGATACATCACTTCTGTGATGTTCCTGCCTAATTGCAAAACCCTAATCTAGTCATATGGAACCATGAGGCCCTGTATTCTTAAAATGCCAAGATAATGAAAAGCAATGAACCAAAGGCTGTGAAGTTCTTAGAGAGAGACACGTGTAATCATGTGTTACAACTAAATGTAACACATGATCTTGCACCAGGAAAAAGGGAATGGCTATAAAGGACATTACTGGGACAACTGACAAAATTTAAATATGGACCATGGGCTATATAACATTATTTCAGTGTCCAACTTCTTGATTTGGATAACCATACTTACGGTTTTAAGTTATGAGACAGCATCCTTGTTCTTAAGGAAATACTAAACATTTTGGGGTAAAGGGGCACAATGTCTGCAACTTACTCTCAAATGCTTCAGAAAATACAATACATAAATATAGATAATAAAAGTCAAAGCAAATAGGTAAAATGTAAAGACTCGGTAAATTTGGGTAAAGGATATATGGGAGTTCTCTGTGATACCCTGAAACTTTTCTGTAAGACGAAATTCTATTAAAATTTAAAATTTACCAAACAACCAAGAATCCAACAACAAGGGATGAGTCAGAATTATGGTACAATCACTCTGTGGAAGCCTCAAAATTACATAGCCTTAGAAATAAAGCTTGTGAAGATATGTAACAATATAGAAGAAATGCTTATAAAATATACAGTGCTGAGTGATAAAAGCAGGATACAAAATATTTTGTGTATATTATTACAACTGGGCAAAAGCAAACACATAAGAAAGACTGGAAGGATAAAATCAAGGGTGGTAATGAGGATACTGGGAGATAGGAAGAGATTGAGTGACTTTTTCCAAAAAAATCAACCTGTTGAAAAAGATACTTGCCAGCACTGCACTCCCAGCCCCCCCACATCCCTGCCCCCACCAGCCTAGTGTACCAGAAAACAGTGTCCTTGACTGCATTCTCTTGCCTCAGGCTGCCCCTCCCCAAACCTTGACCACCCACCAAAGAGAACTGACAGAGCAGGTGTGGAATACCCTCAGAAAGGGGCATCTCTGGGGCTAAGGCTGGGGCAGGGGGCCTGGGAGTGGCGAGGCTCCATGGCAGGCAGTCTGCCAACCCGACCCTGCAGAGCAGCTCCAAGTCCCCTTGGAGCAGCCAGTTTAAGCAGCTGTGGACACAGCTGAGGGGAAGCCCAGTAACAGCGCATCGGAGACTCGAGCCTCCCTGGCCAGGCCGGGACAGAGACCCCTTTGAATGCCCTTGGCCTGTGTGGACAACACTTGGCCTCTTGTTGGCATGCTACCCCCTGGGCACAGACAGTAAAGCTTCTTGGAACCTCAAAAAATTTAGGAACTCTTGGATGACCTTATCTGGAGGCAGAGTGCCTGGCTCTGTCATCAGTGGAGACAGCATTAAGTGCTTATCACCCCTTTACACTTTTCACATGAATCAGTCTACTGAGGATGTGGCAAAAAAGAAGTTCAGAATACAAGACTGCTATCAGAGGGCAAGACTCAGAGAGCCCTGGGCAGCTAAGGGAAATAGTAGGAATAAAAGAGAGTCTGCCTCCTTTGCAGGAGAATCCATTTTGCCTCTCTTACTGTAAGAGATGTCTTTACAACTCCTTCCCTAAAAAAGCAGGAATAAGAATTAAACAGATTAAGAGACCCTCAGAGCAGGCAGCTGAGGTAGACAGGAAAAAAAAAGAAATCCTAGTTCCATAGGGACGCAGCAGCAAAAGCTTGTAAACTCCTGTGGAGAGAAGCTTACTCTACACCTGGGCAACTTCTTGGTTCAGAGTATTCCGGACCTGCTTCCCAACTGCTCCCCGGCCTAAAGCAAAAAGCACCACCATTCTGAGTCATATGACCTGATTTTAAAATATTTTATTACATAATCTTTTCATGGCACCATCAGGAGTAACAGAAAACGTTATTCCCAGTTCCTAACCACATCCTGAAAAATATACATTTGTATTTATATATTTATATCAATACTCCACCCCTATTCCCTAACTCCACCACCTAGTGTAGGTCTTTTGCTTAAAGCAAGAAACTATTCTCTCAGGTAAGAAAATATATATGGAAGCTAAATGAAGTAATGGTTAGAATGGGGACGGGTTGGTCGTGGGGGCGGGGAGGAAGGGGTAAAGTCCAGGCTAGGCAGGATGCATCACTGGAGTCCAGCAGAGGTGGAGGACAGTGTATAAAAAGGCAGCGTCAGGCAGGTGGGTTCTGGTATCCTTGGTCCATTAGGAGATGGCCTTTGCCTCAGGAAGGAAGGCTTCCCAGTACTTTGCCAGCTGCAAAGAAGTGGGGACAGTAAGCAAGTGCCCCACCGAGTGGCAGAGCCTGAGCCTAGGAGGGGAGCAAGCACTGTGCCTTAGCACAGTCCCCCAGACGCCTTAGTCACCTAAAGGGAGGCTGGAGCTGAGGCCAAGCTGAGGAAATGGCTAGGCTGAGTAGACCTTGGGACAGATTGGCCAGCAAGCCACCCTGCCCTTACCGGTCTCTAGACTGAGAGGAAGCATCAAGTGCAAGGGAAATTGCTAAAGACAGTCCTGCTTCTGCCCTGGAGGAAGTACCCCTGTGGGGGCCACAGCTTTGCCCAGCTCAGTTAGCTCCTCATAGTGGGGCCCCACTGTTCACCACACTGACTGGGGCCTCAGCCTTAAGAGGGTTAGGTGGTACCACGGGGTTGTAGGGAGATTTGGGGTTTGTCCTTAAAAACTAACTTCTTGTAGGATTTGGGCAATCCTGCTTAGCCAAAGACCCTATTAGATGCTCCATGTTAGAGCAACAGGGCCAGCCCATCCCATCCTGTTACCAAAGCCCAAAGTAGGCAGCTGGCCTCTGGAGCGGGCACAGAGGAGGATGAATAACTTACATACCTGCTGCTGTGAATATAGGAGTGTCTCAAGGTACTTGATCACATGGTTTTTGAAGTCCTTGGATTTCTCTTTCTATAGGAGACAGGATTCTAGAGTGATCATCCAGACAGTTGCTCCTACCCCTCTTGATGGGGTGGTGTTTATTACTGATCAAGGCCAAACACAACCCCAGAAACTATAGCCAGCAGCTGGAATAGCTAAAATTTCCAGTCAAACAGCTTCTGCCAAGGCCTTGCAAAGCCTTCTTCATGGTGGGCAGGGGTTGGGGGATGAAGGAAGAGAGGAGAAAGGAAAGGGGACCAGAGGACATAGGACAGCCGCAAACCTTGTTTTGTGTCTAACTGCCTGGTCCAGCAACATAGGACACCTGCTTTGCCTCAGAACACAAATGTGAACACACACACACACACACACACACACAGGCCACGCCTGTTCACAACTACCACCAAGTCACCAGCACTTCCATCTGTCTCCCGACTCAACAGACATGAACAAAACCAACACTACCACTAAACCAGGCACTGTACACTTGTGAGGAGTAGGATGTTCTATCTCACCTCAAACCGTATCACTTCTTTTCGGACCACAGTTGAAATCCTTTCAAAGTCCCTTTCATACTGGGTCACCCGAGACTCCCACTGGGAAGAAAGGGGAAAGAAAGGATGACTTAATATCATGACACCATTACAGAGTCTTTACCTCTGAACAGCACTTCTATATATGAGACCTGAATTGGTCATTATGTCTGTCTCTCTGGGTAAGACTAGAAACCATATGGGATTGAGTGTGTAAGACCATCTGGCTGGAAATGAGGTACTGTGTACCCCAGGCCAGGCCTGATCTCTAAGAAAGTTCTGGCACTCCATAGCCTCTGGTTTAGGCACCCACCAGCAGAGCTGGGCGTTCCACAGAACTGAATTTAGTTCTCACCAGAGGGGCATATCTGAATCACCTTGGAGTTTTTTGAAGACCCACCCAGGACTCTTCCTGCAGAGATTCTGATTTGACAAGTCTGGAGGGAATGGGAAAAGAGCAAGCCTGGGGGCGCCTGGGTGGCTCAGTTGGTTAAGCGACTGCCTTCAGCTCAGGTCATGATCCTGGAGTCCCTGGATCGAGTCCC